GTCAGGAGGGAACAGTCACTGGAGAAGAATGTCATGCTGGGTAAGATGGAGGGTCAGAGAAAAAGAGGAAGACCTCCAATGAGATGGATCGACCAGGTGGCATCATTGATGGTGTCAAGTGTGGCAGCGGTAGTGAGGTTGTGTTCTGCTGTGCATGGGGTCGCTATGAGTCAGTTTTGACTCGATGGCACCTGATAATAACAACAACATATCTTTATTTATGGTTGTTGTTGTTAACTGTCATCGAGTCAGTTCCAACTCACAGCGAACCTGTATAGAGTTTCCAAGGAGTGGCTGGTTGAGTTTGAACCGCTGACCTTGTGGTTCAGTGCTTATCCTACAGAGGCACATCAGGATTCTTTTTATATTGTACTTAATATTAACCATGTGTTCATTCAAACATCTTAATCATTATCCCATTAGTCTTTTAGAATAGTTCCTGTAGGAGACCTGGTAATGTTTGTGCAATGTAAGGAACAGGTTTGGTACTTTAAAATTTTGCAAGTGGGGCCCTCACTTAACTCAGAGGAGATCCAGAATTTAAAGAAAGGAGGAATGAATATACACACAGGGAAAGCTTTAATCGTCCACAATGCAAAACATGGAACCTGATGCTCAGAAACACAGCACCCAATTAGCCTGGAGAAGAAGCAAATCATAGGATTTGTGACATAGGAAGAAGTGCCTTTCCTCACTCTGAAGGACAGGCCCAGTTCTTAAGAAGAGTCAAATTCATTATTTGACTGAATGTTATTTGGTGAACAGAGATGTTCTATGTAGTAAACTTTCATCCACGGCCAAATATTCTTAACTACCACACTGTAAGAATACACACCAAATCATCCCCTAGCTTGCTTCACAGAGACAAGTTCTTGTGGTCTACAAATAACATAAAAATTCTTTTCAGAAGACCACACCCAGCAAATAAGAAACCAAGGATTCCACATTCTAAAAAAATAGCATCTTATCACAGCTAAATGAGGCCAAGCATAAGGAGGAATAGAGGAACAAACCTACCCCCAATAAAAGAAGAAAATGAGTTAGCCAAGAAAAGCAAACATTGGGTTAGCTATTAAAGACCTTAGGGAAAAGATAAAAGTACTTCTGCTTAAAAACGTAAGGAATTTTCATCTCTGAGAGACTGCCTAGAATTTTATGTGTATGTATATTGTATACCCAAATACACATTTACTCCAAGAAAGACTTTCCTCAAATTTTCCTGTCTTTAGACTGTCATTATTCATTAGTATTTGTTTTATTTCCAGTGCACTCCAAAATGTGGTCCAGGATTCAAGCATCGGATTGTTTTGTGTAAGAGTAGCGACCTCTCTAAAACATTCCCAGCTACACAATGCCCAGAGGAAAGCAAACCTCCTGTCCGAATCCGCTGCAGTTTGGGCCGCTGCCCTCCTCCTCGCTGGGTGTCTGGAGACTGGGGCCAGGTAAGGCAATTGGGCCAAGACAGCAACTGGGGACAAAAATCTGACATTCCTGATTGGTCACTGTAAGGGTTTAAGAGATGAGAAATAATATCTAGAATACAAACAGAAATCTAAGTATGATGTAAATGTGGTACACTGTACCAACAGCAGCAGACACACACGGTCACACGTACACCCTTCCACACCCGTATACTTCCCACTTATATCTACACCATGAATCCTCACTCTTTTAGTTAAACCTAAAAGAAATTGTCCAGGTGGTCAGAAATTTGAAGCTACCAAGACTTTGGGTTCTAGTCCCAGCTCTCTCAACTAATTCAAGAAAAAAAAATGTTAACACCACTGTCAGAATTTTTCCAATGTAGAGATGGTTGGTTGGTTGGTTATATTCTGTGGAGTCAGTTCTGACTCATAGCGACCCTGTACGGGGTTTCTAAGGCTGTAAATCTTTACGGGAGCAGAAAATCTCATCTTTCTCCTGCAGAACAACTGGTAGTTTCGAACTGCTGATCTTAAGGTTAGCAGCCCAATTTGTAACCACTATGCTATAATGCCACTTAAACAAAAATTAGTTTGATAATGTGACTGACAACCTTGGAAATGCTGTTAATGCTTATCCCACAGTTGGTTTTTATGTAATGCACACTATGAAGTGGGAAGCAACTATATAGGGCCTTTAGTACCTAACTTTTATGTTAGACTCATTTTTCTTTTATATGTCAGTTCATATGTTTTCTTCTTTATCATGCATTTTTAAATTGTATTATCTTGCAGTCGATCCCCTTAAATCCTATGAAAAAAGTTGATGTATTTCGATAGAAGGAATACTAAATATTGTTCTTTTGAATGTCAAGAAAGTTGCTTTAAAAAAATAATGCTCCAGGAAGTAAATTTCTAGTCAATCAATGGCTTTATCCTGTGGTTTCATATTCAGCCTGTGGGTGATATTACAGTTGCTTTCTAATATTTGAGGCCCAAATAAATCAAAATGGCATATCATAAATCAGTATGACATTATTATTTTGTGATCTAAGTCGGCCATTATTTATAAAAACTGACATTTCATAGAAATAGTTCCTAAATTCTGACAAAAAAAAATTCAATACTGCTTCTGGTGTGGTGCTGTAGGATCAGCACTGGACTGTGAACCACAAGGTCAGTGGTTCAAACCCACCAGCTGCACATCAAAAACCCCACACAGGGTCCCTATGAGTTGCAACCAAACAACAACATAGCAGTGTTTGCACACGTCTTTTATTTCACTTAGAGGTGCTAGTTTGAATCGACCATCTGTTCCATGGGAGAAAGATGTGGAGGTCTGCTTCTGTTACAAGAGAGCTTGTAACCCCAGGTTCCCTTCTGTTCTATACGGTTGCTATGAGTTGGAATAGATTTAATGGCACTGGGTTTGGGGGTTTTGTTTTCATTTTGGATTATTTAGTTTAAAAGAGGGCAACAATTTTCAGTTTTCATTTAGATGAAAAATAGGATAAACACTCAACGTCAAGGTCATTTTCAACTGCAAGGTTGGCAGTTCAAACTCACCAGCCACGCTTCAGAAGTTGCTATGAGTCAGAATGGACTCGAAAACACTTAACAGCAGCAGCAACATTCTTTGCCCTGTGTGGAGGCAAAAGAAGTATGATCATAACATAATTAATGCTTTTCATTTGTATTTGAGTGCTAGTTTTGTTTTAAAAGTGCTCAAGTTGAATACACATAGAAGTATTGTATGCAGATCATGTAAAATGTGCTTCAGTGTGGAAGAATGACAGCTTCCTAACACATAATTGCTATTATGCTATTAAAGAATCAGTACAAACATGCTCTTGTGTTCTTTATTTTAAACCAGGTAGGCATTTCTTTGCTTTTATATATCCTCTTACAATGCACTGTTTTATAAAGAGCAGTTGAAAACTTTTGCTTGTTAGTGATTTCACCAAATTTAAAACTGCCAGTTTGTTATTTTACTTTTAAATGTTGTCAAGTCTTTTTCTTCCCATCTACATTTTCAATCTAGTTTTCTAAAACTAAAAATAATTAATGAAATTCAATTCCAAAGATATTATAACAAATTTTGTATTTGTCATTGTATATTAAAAATTAAAAAATAGTGTCTAAGAATTCTCTACAGAAAAAGAACTAATAGGATATATCTCTAGTATACCTATCTATCCTATCTGTCTACCTATCTATCTATCTACCTGCCTACCAGGCCTCAAAACAACCACTGTTACTTTACTGACATTTTTATAAGATACTTCACACTCCAATAGATCCTTAGGTTATTTGCCAGCTATCCTGTAAGAGACATGGAAAGAGGGGGAAAAAAAAGACAGAGAGAAAGAGAGCGAGAGAAGGAGCAACAGTGATCTCCCAGCCTTAAAATGTGATTATTTCATTTTATCAGGAGGATTTTCTCATTACATTCCTGTTAGAGTTCACCAACCTTGTTTGGAATTGTTGGGGTGATATTCCAAGAACCAACCACCACCCCACTGCAACTCCTAACCCCATGCTGTCTCATGGGAACAATATTGCTTCCATTTTCTAGGATAGTAAGATAATCCTTGAGTCTCTAAACTAATTCTATAGTAGAATGATCTATTCATGCACCTTTCCAAGATGAGAGACATATGAGCTTTAAAAGGTTTGTGTGTAGTATTTAACATGTGTGGTTTAAAATGCATATAGTGTCTTTTATTTAATCATCTACAAATTGTTAAGGCCAATGTTTCCTTTCTTTTGTGTCTTTGAATATAGTGTTCTGCGCAGTGTGGCCTTGGACAGCAAATGCGATCTGTGCAATGTCTGTCATACACGGGACAGGCATCTAGTGACTGCCCAGAAACTGGTCGGCCTCCATCGATGCAGCAGTGTGAAAGCAAATGTGACAGTACCCCCATTTCCAATACTGAAGGTGAGTTTCCATCGAGAAGGGGCATGGGAGTGGAAACACAATGGTGGGCTCTCGTGACTCAACCATATAGGCCACCAGGCTTGAAATAAAAATTGTCATCAAGTATTGTCTGATTCATGGTGATCCCAGGTATGTCAGAGTAAAAATGTATTCTGTAAGGTATGCTCTAATGAATGATTTTTCAGAAGTAGATTACCTCTGGATAAATTTAAAACACAATCTTTCCATTAGCAGCTAAATGTTAGCAGTTTGCACTATCTGGGCACTCTCACCAGGGTTTAAAGAACCCCATATATCCACTTTGGATTATAATTGGTATCGAGCATTAGTGAAAACTACTAATGTAGTAGAAAGGGTGTGTACTAGAAATTAGGAAACCTAGGTTTCTTCATGACACTTTCACTAATTATATGCCCTTGTTAAAGCTATGGGGCCAAGTTCACTTAACTATAAAAGGAGAGCTTGGCAAGTATAATTTCTAAGATTATATCCAATCTAGTGTTCTATGTTTAACTTGTACTGGAATTGAGGGATGATTCCTAATGATATGCTCTTATTTCATGGTTTGTGCATAAATATGAACAATAGTGGTATTAACGCCACAACACCTCTGTCAGTTTGTGGTACTGTGGTGACTTGATGCTTGTGTTGCTGTGATGCTGGAACACCAGCAGGATCACCCACGATGGACAGGTTTCAGCTGAGCTTCCAAATGAAGACAGACTAGGTAGAAGGAGAGATGGACATTTTTGAATACATAGTCATTGAAAACCTTATGAATAGCAGTAGAACACTGTCAACACCAGAATATTGAATACTGAAACATGATGAAGAGCACCAGAATACTGTCAGATATAGTGCCAAAAGATGAGCCTCTCAGGTTGGAAGGCACTGAAAATTTGACTGGGGAAGAGTTGCCTCCTCAAAGTACAGTTGACTGTGATGACAAGAATGGAGTGAAGCCCTCAGAACTTTCAATAGCTGATGGAGCACAACTTAAAATGAGGAGAAACAGCTGTAAACATCCATTAACTGGAACATGGAATGTAAGAAGTATGAATCTAGGAAAACTGTAAATTGTCAAAAATAAAATGGAACACCTATACATCGATATCCTAGGTATTAGTGAGCTGAAGTGGACTGGTATTGACCATTTTGAATATGCCAATCACATGGTTTACTCTGCCAGGAATGACAAATTGAAGAATGACATTGCATTCATCATCAAAAGAACATATCAAGATCTGTCTTGAAGTACAACACTTTCTGTGATAGAATAATATCCATACGCCTACAAGGAAGACCAGTTAATACCACTATTATTCAAATTCAAATAAACCACTAAAGCTGGTGATGATGAAATTGAAGAATTCTACCAATTTCTTCAGTGTGAAATTGACCAAATTTCAGGTGATCAAAGGTTGGAAACAAAGAGGAAGGATCCGTAGTTGGAAAACATGGCCTTGGTGATAGAAATGATGCTGGAAATTGCATGATAGAATTTTTCAAGACCAATGATTTCTTCATTGCAAACGCTTTTTAAACAACATAAAATATGACTATACAAATGGACCTCACCAGATGGAATACAATCGCATCTGTGTGAAGAAATGGTGGAAAATATCCATATCATCAACAAAAACAAATCCAGGAGCAAACTGTAGAACATACCACCAATTGCTCAGATGCAAATTCAGGTTGAAGCTAAAGAAAATTTTTTAAAATCTGAGAACCAAATATGACCTTGAATGTCTCCCACCTGAATTTAGAAATCATCTCAAGAACAGATTTGATTTATTAGACACTAAAGACTGAGGATCAGAAGAGTTGTGGGATGACATCAGGAACATCATATAGGAAGAAAGCAGAAGATCATTAAGAAGACAAGAGAGAAGGAAAAGACCAAAATGGATGTCAGGATATAGAATTTCTGAAGAGCAGTTGGCGAGCTTGAACTCTTGACCTTGTGGTTCAAACCTGCGTTACAGTCCCGAGCATTAACCCACAGCACCACACCAGTGACATTAGTGTTGTCCATTTTGGAGCATTCTGTTTGTGTCTGTCAGCAAGACTACTGGCTTTCTGTTAATAAAGCTTGGACCAGATCTCTCCCCATCTCTGTGATTGACTACAGTGACAGGCGGAAAACCCGCATGTTGGTTTGGCAACATTTCTGGTGAACACAAAGGAACCACACAGGCTTCTCTAATAGTCTGTACCCCTTCCAGCCTCGAGACTGAGTCCTGCTCAAAGCGTGACAAGATGGACCTGACTTCCAGTTAAAAGAGAAGTGGACTGGGCCTTGGAAGATCCTGCTGACCACCCCCACTGCTATCAAACTCACAGGCCTCAAGTCCTAGATTCACCCATAGGCAGTGTTTCGTTCTGTTGTGCATAGGGTAACTTTGAGTCGGTACCAACTCAATGGCACCTAACAACAACAACATGACATAATCATGGATGTGATTTTGTTATTTTAATTTCTCAGACAATTCAGATATCAAAAGTTATTTGTTTTAGTTACCTAATCTAAGAGATGACTATACACATGACTCACCAGATGTAATACATAGAAATCAAACTGACTACATCTGTGGAAATAAACAATGCAAAAGCCCCATATCATCAGTGAAAACATATTAATAGTGAGGATGGAAGTTTTTATTGCCATTAGACTTTTTGTATGTTACTGTATTCAGTGCTCATTTTTTGTATTGCCCTTTGTGAAACTTGTGGTTTTTCATGACTTAAACTTAGTTCTTTTAATCCAAGAAATAATGCCTGGGACCAAAGTAACTATTCTCATTTGAATCAGATTTCGTAGAAATGAAATCTAAAAATAAGAGTGGGAAATGATAGCATGGATCTACCATCTTAAACAAAATGGAGTTGATTTAGTCATTAGGTCTTAAATGAGGACTCTGCAAATGTTGAAGTTTAAAAATTAGCTAAGATGACCTTATGGTCCTTGAACAAGAACAAGACAAGGAGAATAGGACATACTTAAACCCACTCAGATATTTATATCAGAAATTAAACAACTGAGACCCTAAATGTTTGAGGAAGTTTATTGTCTGATTGTTTCTTTTGCCAAAGAATGCTATCTTGTTGTTAAAATTGATTAAGAGTACATCCAAATGTAATTACCCTATATAATGTGCCTACTTTTTCTGAAAGTTGTGAGAAATTATGCTCCCCATTCTCCAAACAGCTGGCTTGGATTGGGGGGAAAAAAGAAAGAAAGAAAGAAAAGGATATCAAAAGCAACTCTGAAACTTGCTCTCCAGCAAATGGAAGAAAGGAGGTACAAGAGCTGAACAGAAAGTTTCAAAGGTCAGCTTGAGAACACATATCAAAAATTAAAGCAAAATTCTGAGTTAGAAAATCAAAAGGGAAGAACACGTTCAACATTTCTCAAATTGAGGGAACTGAAGAACACATTCAAGCCTTGACTTGAAATATCTATGGGCAAAATAATGAATGATGCAGGAAGCATCCAAAGAACATGGAAGAAAGACAAAGAGTTTCATTTGCTGATACAGCACAACTCAAAATGAAGAGAAACAGCTGTAAACATCCTTTGAAAGGCAGAACATGGACTGTACGAAATATGAATCTGGGAAAATTGGAAGATGTCAGCAATGAAATGGAACGCATAAACATTGATATCTTAGGTATTAGTGAGCCGAAATGGACTGGTATTGACCATTTTGAATCTGATGACCACACGGTTTACCATGCCAGGAACAACAAATTGAAGAGGAATGGTGTTGCATTCATTGTAAAAAAGAACATATCCAGATGAGTCATGAGGTACAATGCTATCTGTGATAGGATAATATCCATGAGCCTACAGGGAAGCCCAGTTAATACCACTGTTATTCAAATTTAAACACCAACCACTAAAGCCAGTGAGGATGAAATAGAAGAAGTCTACCAACATCTTCAATCTGAAATTGATCAAACATGCAATCAAGATGTAGTGATCATTACTGGAAATTGGAATGCAAAGGTCGGGAATAAAGAGGAAAGAAATTATGGCCTTGGTGGTAGAAATGATGCTGGAAAACGCATGATAGAATTCTGCAAAATCAATGATTTGTTCATTTCAAATACTTTCTTTAGAGAACACAAGAGATGACTATACACATGACTCACCAGATGTAATGCATAGAAATCAAACTGACTACATCTGTGGAAATAAACAATGCAAAAGCCCCATATCATCAGTGAAAACAAGGCCAGGGACACACTGTGGAACAGACCATCAATTACTCATATGCAAATTCAAACAGAAGCTGAAGAAAATGAAAACAAGTCCACGAGAACCAAAATATAACTTTGAATGTATCCCACCTGAATTTAGAGATTATCTGAAGAACAGATTTGATACATTAAACACTAAAGACCGAAGACCAGAAGAGTTGTGGGATGACATCAAGA